GGTTACTGTTTAATAGAGAAACCAGAAATAATGGATTTGATCTGCATTCAATGAGATGCATAAGGAAAGTCAAAACTTTCAAGTGAAATTCGGAGGTTTCCGTGGTTAGCTACGGATTACAGGTAACCCCAGAAATCACGTTATTGACCTAAGAGAATCGAATTGTATTGGATAGTATAGCGTTTAACACAACATGCGATGTCGGTTCATAAAGAGAAATGTAAAGAAGAAATAGATCAAGCACAATTCTAATAAATCTTGATCCAACTAATAATGACCATTGAAGAAAAGAATTTTAATGATGTCCTACAAGTGGAGACAGTCGTCGTGAACTGTTCATGATCAGCTCATTATCTCTGCTGTGCTCAGATCGCTTCACTGCTTGTCACTATGAGGGCTCGTTTAGCGCAGTGGTTAGAGGTGCTTGGATGATACATATTCGCGAGGTTTTTAAACAGCATACATTTACTTCCATAGAAGAACACAATGCAATACAACAGTAGCTGACGTTTCGGCAGTACCGTCTTTTTCAGAGCGTGGAAGGGTATACTGATATACAGTTTACTAGGCCACATCGTACTGGTTTCGTATGCTTGCATCGATTTATGATGTGGGATGGTGCAGTCATCAACCATATGCGACTATAATCAGCTGTTTTTAACTTCCTCATTGAAAGTCACGAAAAAGCGGCTCCGAAGAAGGCGATACTGTCGAAACGTCAGCCAGTGTTGTGTTGTATTGTGTTCTTCTATGGAAGTAAATGTATGCTGTTTATTGCTGAACATCCTATCCTCGCGATTGCTGAACAAGAAAACGACACATTCGTATTCCAATGCTGAGGTTAATAGAATGTCGATCCTGGGAACTGATACATATTCGCTTGTTCGATCGTACACCCTGATCTTGCCAAGCGCTTCATCCACCCGAGGCAGGAAATTTGTTACCGGATTGGTCTTAAGAAATAAAAACACCGAATTTATACATCTGCAAGCCTAAGTTATTGTATGGGTCAGGTTTGCATTCAATCACCTCTTTGATGCACAATGAATTGTGCTGCATGACACATCCCTCAGGGATTCGATTGACGCAGAACTCATTGTGGTTTATCCTAATGCGTAGTTGTTTCACTGTATCCGTTACATGGATGTGCTTCAGTGAATGGACTGTTTTTTGGACCACATCGAAACGTTCTACGGGTTGGAATCTGCTGTGGGAAAGTGCATTTCTATTTATTTTATTTTCTATAGGAAGGTCGCGTGTGCCGCAGTGGTTGGAAGCGCCACCGAGACACACACGTGGAATCGATCCCCGCTCCCATGGCTCACCAAGCCTTCCATCCCCCCGGGGTCGGAAAATTGGTACCAGACCTGTCTGGGAGGGTAGCAGCACTGGACAATACATCGGTAGGCCATTGCGAGTCATTGTAAAAGCTAGATATGCAATCAATTACCTCAAAACGATGCTTAATAAAGTCGAGTGCATGGCGCACCCCACAGGGATTGATCAGCGCAGAGAGTTTTATTCTTTTATCCTTTATTCTATAAGAAAAATGCTTGCCTATTTCGATTACAACCTATTGAGACAGCAGTACCTACCACCTTATGATTGAAGCCTTCGAACTTTTCGTGTGCGGGGTTTCGTCTCTATTTAAGTTTTTTCACCATCGTTGCGAACGCCATTGAAGCTGGTCGACTTGATTCTCCCTCGATCAACTCTTCACAGATCTGTTACCATGTTCCCGACACTACAAGCAGGTTGCGGGTATGGTGCTAAGCGCTTGGGTGGGCTGGCATTACTTCCACTGCACTACTCACTTCCGTAGAACTCTATTAGTGTAAATAAATAAATATTGATGAATTTGTTAGCGTGGATCGGAATCTATTGGCTATGAATCCATTGGCTCCTCCGTGGTACGAAACTAAATCGCTATATCTGATGTGAGGAACAAATGAATGTGGAGTTTAATGGAAGCCGTTCTAATCACTATTTAGCTATCATAGAGATTGAAATGGCTATTAGCGAAGAAAGTATGCATAGAAAACACCTTAGTTCGAAAGAGACTTTTTACTCCGAGGTTGCTTGTTCTGTTTCTTTTATCCAAAACATTCGAGTTCCACATGCACACGTTTAAAAAAACCATCATCGAATAAGAAAGATTACGCAGTTCACCTCTCTTGCATTGAGTCCCACTATTTATTTATAACGCGATCCACCTTTAGATTTTTTGCGCTGATTACAGCACTTCCTGCATCGAATTCTTTTCCCTGTCATCCATCCACAATCCACGAAGCTCTTTGAGCTTCTGTTGCTTATGGCTTCATCTGCTCTTGAATACTTTTGTCCTCGTTATGAATGCCATTGGATTCCGGTCGAGTCGGCTTTACCTGAATTCGTAGAATTTTCGTGCTAGATCGTTCACACTTAGATTGCAGAAAGCGAACTGTTCCCATACAAGTCTAGTAAAACTTTTCCGACTCCAGAAGGAAGAACGGCTTGGTGGGCCTCGTAAGGAGTTGAACCAGCACTGTGCACATGATGAACGGCATCACCAACATCGCGCTACCTGCATCTAACCGCGATACTAAATTTCCGCTATTTTTAATCACTGCACGACAACGCCTCTGTGAATGTTCCCATATCACCATTATTGTCTTGATTTGACTAACGTCGACTATCCAAACAGACTTGAAAAGGCAATTACGCAGATCATAAAGGACGATTTCACTGAAGTCAGAAAGAAAAAAGTGTAACACGAAGGAAACACGTAGGTAGTTTCATTCATTTTAAATGTTTCAGAGATTCTGTATTTCATTGGTCGACCGGTCTGTTCGTTCAGGCAACGTGCACGTCTTCGTTCATAAAATGGAGGGTACCGATCTTAAAGAGGTTTTTTTCCTTGTTAAACATTTGTCCGCAAAATATCTTTAAGAATATCAAGTAAAAAAGGAAATCAGGCGAAAATACAAAAGAAAGGTAGACTATAGGTAGACTATTCAGTGAGTATGTGGCGTGTCCCTGCTCTTTTCATTCATGAGAATTTTTCCTCAACAACAGCTCGTCTTTAGATAATGAAAGTGATCCCACTATCGTACGTACTACATTCCTATTTCATGCTTCATGAAGTGTTCGGACGAGCTGTCACCGAAACCGAGAAGAAAACTGGTTACTGTACTTCTTTATTTCTTTTTTTTTCTAAGAGATTTAAACTGCTAAGAAAACTTGCTATGGATAGGTGACGGCATTCAAACCTTTTTTTGTTTGATATCCAAACTAATGGTGCGAAATTTTTATTGTTCTTCTAGGACACGCGCCCACGTGTTTACGTTTTAGAAGCTGGGTTTCGATCAATACCCATCTTTTTGTGCGCCTACCTCATCGTTTTTCCAGAGCGATGGAGATTTAAATAGAGACAGCATTTTAATTATTGCTTTATACTTCAGAAAAGGCATGCTGATATGTTGTCACATGAAGTGTTATAAATGGTTAATTTATCATCATCAAGCATTTTACCACTCTTGTTGCGATACAACCATAAGTTTTTAGAGAAAACTCCTTTTTCAAAATATTTTACTCTACAACCATAACGATGCTGAGATATTTGCAAGGCTCCGGACCGCAGATGTCTGTGGTGGGGAACGAACGCGCTATTACCCTTTCCGGGAGCTAACACGTTTAGCACCATTCCATACGGGTCCTTCGTTTCGTCTGTCTCTCAGCTAGTTCTATCGATCATTGCCATCAGCAATCACCTGTCAACGACAATGATCTGAGGAGCCACATCAGGGAATTGTGGCAAGCAGAATATAAAAAGGAAAACATTGTGATTATAACTATAGCCTCAGCTTAACCGGGTTCAACGCCAATTTGGGCTCCCCAGATCAACCCTGTTGACGAGTGTTTGCTGATGGCACTGATCGATGGAACTAGCTAAGAGAGGCGAAACGAAGGACCAGCATGGTGTGGTGGTGAACGTGTTAGCTCCCGGAAAGGCTAATAGCGCGTTCGTTCTCTACCGAAGACACTTGCGGTCCGAAGTTATGCAAAGTTTTTCACAGTTTTCAACGTATGATCGTTGTATGCTTCAATTTCAGGCCGCCCTTCTTCGTGGGTCACCATTCTCGATTTAAAAGGCCTTAACTTATCTGATTTTTTGAATCCACTCTCCTCACCAGTGCAACTCGCCCGATTAGTTGTAAAAGTCTGGTCGGAATACTTCAGTGATAATGTTGGTTGCTGTGAAGAAATTTTATAGTTTTGCCATAAACCTTGAGATTTTTGAAGAGATGTTATAAGCTTAAGATTTTTGAGATGATTTCAAGCACTCACGAAATATGTGCATTACTGTTTTGGAGGCATTTTCCCTATTAAGAGTGAAAGTTATTTTATGTTTCAAGAACTCTTTCTAGATGTGTAAGCTGTTAATTGTTAATCCACCAGGAATCGTCTCTCTTATGTTTAAGGTAATTTTCAATTTTCTTCTCGGAATTCTGCATCTGAATAATTGTTTGTATCAAAAACTGGTATTATTCCACAAAGCGATTTTCACAAGAAAGAAATCAACAATAATTGTGTAAATCTGACGTAAAACTGATTAGATATTGTCAGAAAACATCTGAGCACTTGAGGACTTGGATGGTCCGCCTTCATTGGTTGCGCAGACCCTAGCTTAATTTCCATATTTTGGATGTTTAGCCACTGTGGCTCCCTCAAAACCCGAGGTCAGCGTAGCCGATGATGTGTTCAGGTTGCGACCACCTCAAGCAGTAGACGCCATACCGGATGCGACGGAGATTTACTACCATGAGACTAGTTTGGTACCAGCAACCAAGACGGTGGTGGTTCCCAATATTGGTTTACTCTTACCTGGGCTTCCTGATGGAAACGTTGGACGTCTTCACGCCTCTGTTCAAGTGGGTGGGGAGATGGTGAATCTCTCTGTATATCGCAGCACGACACCCACGAACACCTCCAAGCACGGTAAGACGGTGAACCGTTGTAGGCCGTTTGAAAATAACTGTTACTAGTGATAGAATACGACAGTATTGGAATAGTTATTCTGTCGACAGCCCACAATGATGGCTTATATGATTGACCAATGAAGAATTCTAAATAGGTGGTAAAAGGTTTTCACCAAGTGTTACATTTTAAAAAAATCTGTTATATAATTGCCTACTTTTATATATATATACTTTTTCTTATGTTCTATGTTTTTGCTGTAATATTTCTGATTTTGGTCGTTCATTGATTGCCAGGGAGGCAACTAAGAGACCATGCTGATGACAGTAAGTTCGTCAGGTGGAAATCTGTTCCTCATAGTTTCCGTAGATAAAATTTGATAGTGAGTTTCAAATTTTCGGCAAACAAAGTTAACTATGGGTTGAATGACCTCAGTTTTCTCCTTCGAAATTGGAAGAATATTTCATTCATCCAGACTTAATGTGCCACCTTGATTGTTTTTCCTTAACAAGGTTTCTTTTTTCGATTTATCCAAAATGAAGTCCATTTTCTCCCTACTTCACTTACAGATCTCAAAATTTATCATGGATTCCCGAACGGCCAATCAATTAGCATTCTTAAGCGACGTTAGCGAATTGCACAACTACCTCGAACCTCAGGTAAGGTATTCTTCATGAGTTCATTTCTACAGACTTTTGGAATAAAAGCAAATGTAAATACTTGCAAATCCGATGTAGGTCTCCTATTATATTATTGGTCAGTGTAGCGTAACGCAATGAGGCGCCATTTGTTGTGACTCAGACTTGTTCATTTTGTTTCCATCTCCAAGCCAATCAAGGCGTCCAGCGTTGCCCTCATTTAGCGCCTGCTACTCCTTTGGCGCAAGGATTACCACAATAATCTTCATGGTTCTAAAAACTTTTTTCCTAACCCATATTTACTCATTATTAACTCGGAAACATTTTTATAACGATTTCTAAAAGACGTGTTTCCACTTATTCATTCTTATTTGATTACCTACGAAAATAAGCTTACCCGAGTAGGATTTCCTACAAAGTACATGAAGTTTGAAGAGAGGAGACAAACTTAAAAGACTTTATAACTAATGACATAGTGTTGACAGCTAATATAAATGAAGGGCTAGTTTGTAGATGAACTGATTCTCCTCTATAGCATTTCGAAATGGTCTCATTAACCACTAACCAACCTTAGAGGTTTAGAAATTCGGATTTGTTAATTTCTTCACAGGCTCCAAACCTACTATTAAACTGGAGGAAGCAATGGTGTCTTATTATGACCTGCTACATCTCCTTGTTATTAAAGTTCTGTTATCGCCAAATTTTTCTCGTATCATTTATAGTCCAACTTTTATCCACATGTGATTAATTAATGCTGTTTCAAAGGCAATCCCAGTAGAATATGGTGGAACATGGCGTGATGATTCGGGTTATGCGAAACCACCTGAAAGCTGCACTCGACCGCTGCAACCAGTAACAAGTTCAGACTACAGAGGAGTAAGTAGAGGCTTAGATTTTCCGGTATGAAATCAATAACAGTCAACAAAAGAAGCTGCTGAAATATTCTTCATCAATTCACCAAATGAAAAAAAAGTGGGCTACTTTCTGAAGGCATAGGACTTTATTTCCCATTGGAATCGTTTTTTCACTTTCCCATTTTTCATTTTTCGTATGCGTTCTCCAACAGGCGACTCTACAGCTCGCGCTCAACAGTATTACTCCAAGGCATGCCAATCGTTGGCTTAATCATCGATGGTGGAATTGTTTATTTGTTTCCATTTAATGGATACCAGTCGAGATGACAGTTGCTTTGACCACTCTTTCGTGCTAATTTTCTCGTCTCAAACCTTTTTAAATGATAAGGGATAAAAAGGATAAGGATTTCGATGTTAATGAGGAATGCGCCATCTATTTAACTTCACGAAACAACGTCTGAGATGTTTTGAATGCATATTTCGCCTATACAGAGACATACGCTCGCCAACCAATGTATGAAGCCAGTGATGTTATCCTTTCAGACAAGCCTGGTACCAATTCGCCGACTCCGCAGGGATAGAGGGCTTGGTGGGCTTAACGTGTGGAATTGATCCCATCTCTATTTCAGAGCTCAGCTAACCACTGGGCCAAACGTTCCTCTTAGAAATATAAATCACCTGTTTCACCTGTAGTCCCGTTGATCGTCGAGTGACTCGAGCGGGCGCCAGTAACTCCTCCATTATTCCCTGTCGTGTGCGAGAGTAGCCCGGTGGCTTCTGCTCGCTCTAGGGACTCGTCGAGCATCATATCTTTCTTCTAGGCTTTTCATGAAGAACTCTGACAATCGGGTTGGTGGTCTTTCCGTAGTGCGTATAACATCCCAAGAAATCCAGTCACTAACGGCTCTTGTCCATCGGCTGCCATTCATGCGCATTACGTGTTCGGCCCACCTTATCTTCCACTGTTTCGCGTACAGAACGGCACCTTTGATTCTTGATCGTTGGCGCAGATCGGAGCTTCGGATCTCATCCCTTACTTTTGTGGAACGGGATACTCCTAGCATTGTCCTTTCCAGTGCACGTTCGATAACGCTGAGTGATCTTTCATCCTGCTTACGCAGTGACGTTTCTGACGCATACCTTAGGGCAGGAAGTACCGTTGAGTCGAAAAGGTGGGCACAGAGTCGGGCGTTCTTTGTTCTCTTCACTACATCCCCAATGCTCTTGAAAGCTCCCCAAGCTTCTCGTTTTCTTCTGCTCAGCTCTAGAGCTAGATCGTTCATTGTATTGATTTCCCGACCTAGATAAATATAACTGAAGCATTCGAAGATATTCGTTCCGTTGAGAGTGAATGGGGAATGCGAAACCAATCCGTTCTTTATGAACATCGTTTTTATGAGATTTAGTCGAAGACCAATCTTTCCACTAGCTTTGTCAAAGTCGTCAAGCATACGTTCCGCTTGGCTAATATTTGGTGTTATACGGACGATATCATCAGCAAAGCGAAGGTGGTGTAACTGCCGACCATCGGTTTTCACTCCCATATTATGCCATTCCAATGCAAGCACGACGTTCTGGAAGGAGGCGGTAAATAAATTTGGCAAGATGGTATCGCCTTGCCTAACCCCTCTTCTGACGTCATCGTTAACATTGTTGTAGAATGGTGATATCTTGGTTGTGAAATTTTTGTACAGCTCACGAAGAATCATTATGTGCTAAGTAGGGACTCCTTGACTACTAAGGGCTTCCATGACTGCTTATACCTCAATTAAGTCAAAGCTCTTCTTTAAATCGACGAAAGTGAGACAGAGTGGTCTTTTGTAATCTCGCGATACTTCAATGAGTCTTGCTATCGTGTGGATGTGGTCCATCGTACTAAATCCTTCCCGAAACCCTGCTTGCTCACATGGCTCTCCTTTGTCCAGTGTTCTGTCAGTCCTGTTAGTGAAAGACTGTTAGACTCGAGTGAAAAGTTTGTAGACGACAAACGGCAAACAGATGGAGCGCTAGTTGCTGATATCGTGTAGGTCAGCCTTCTTAAACAACAACACGGTCTTGCTGGTCTTCCACTGAGTAGGTACCTTGCATTCAAACAGGTAACGTGTGAAGAGCCTAGCCAGTGTGCTTACGAGGACTGGCGGAAGGTTCTTCAGGTGTTACGATCTTATCTTGTCCGGACCTGCTGTTGTTCGATTCTTCACCGATGAAATGGCATATGGGATTTCGGAAGGGAGAACCGGTGGTACAACATATCCACCCTCTTTTATTTCATATGACAGGTGGTGCACGTGGCTACCGAAGAAATCTTAGTAGTATTCGTGGATGATTTTCCCCATTGCCTTTCTGGACGCTGTGAGTGTTCCGTCTCGGAGTCGGATGGCAATCATCTTGGTTTTGTAATTGGCGATGCTTCGGTGGGCTTTGCAAATGCTTTTTCCAGCCTTTGCAGCTTCGACCATTACTGCTGCTCCTCCCTCTTTAAGATCTTCTTTTATCGCCTGTCTGCATTGTTTTACAAGTTCGGACGTTAGCTAGCGATTGCCTGCAGCTCGTGCGATTCCACGCTGGCGTCTCAGCTCGAGTGTTTCTAGAGACAGATGATCTTGGTGACTTTCGAACTCTGAGCTTTCATAGCGCTAACGTGAAGATGTTGAATGAGCCGATCGTATTCCTCGTCGATGTTATCGACAACGGCATCCTCCTAACAGCCGACTATTAAATTGAATGAGTCCCACTTTACGGTGGCTCTGGGACATCGGTTTTTGAATTTAGCGACTTTTTCTCCTTTTCTCGAGGAACAGGATCTTGCACGAAGGAAGTGATTGTCGGATCCTGTGTAGAATTTTGAAACAACAGGTACATCGGGTAGGCAAAACCTATTTGCTATGATGTGTTGTGTGATGATGTGCCCACGCCCAGCGTTGAGGGTGCGGCTTCTGGAATTGCGAGTTACCACTGGATTGTCTTGGTCGTCGTGATAAACTCAGACAGCCGCTCACCCTGTTCGTTCCATTCTAATCCGTGGTTCCCAATGTGACGTCCTTCGGACGTTCTTCTTGGTCCAATCTTGGCGTTAAAATTTCCAATGGTGACTTTTAAGAATGTGTGGTCTTCTCTGTAGAACTTCTCCAAGCCCATATAGAACGCTTCGACTTCTTTTTCGTCATAGTTTGATTTTGGCGCGTAACGGATGAAGACTGTCAAAGCCGGAATTGATCCACGTCTTTCTAACCGTAAACGTCCGAATCGGGTTGTAGGTTGTTCGAAATCGATGTTCATGGACAAACTGGTATTGACGAGAACGCCGACGCCGCCGACTGTACTGTCGCATGTTCCGAGGAACAGTTCTTCTCCGGTGTAATAGACGGCGTTGAAAATTTGGCGTCTCCTCGCCTCGGCCAGGCCGATGACGTCGCACCTTATCCTTCTTGCTTGCATGAGCAAGTCTTCTATCAAGAACTCGGATGCAAGTGTACGTGCATTGTAGCTACGGATCGTCACCATAGTTCTTCGTGATCCAGGCAGCTTCCATTGGCTCTGAGATTTTAGCAGCCTCTCCGTATTTGTTCTACCCAACGCTGTGAAATTAGGAGCTCTTTTGTGGTCAGGGGAATGAGGCCCGTTTTTTTTTTTTACTGTGTTTGGCATTTTAATACCCACGTATAGCTTACTGGGCTGTGAACGCCTGAATTAATCACTACCGCGATAGAAAGTTTATCTCTAACCTTACAGCCGCACAAAAATGTGGCATATGAGAAATTAGAGATTTTGTTCGTATTTTTTGAGCAAACGCGAGGTGTTATTGTTCTTTGTTCACGATTAAGCTGACGTTTCGGCGAATTTCGCCTTCTTCAGAGCCGCTTTCTATGAGGTCTCCACTAAGTATGTCACGTAGAGACCAACCGCACA